CAAATCTTTGCAAGTGATACCCTAACAACCTTGACCGCTCTGCGTTCATTCGAAAGCCGGTTCTTTTATGCACAAACACGCAGCTCTTGAGTCTGGTTAGCTGCTTTTTCAAAGGGAGACGTAATGTGGCGGGCCGAAACTCCACTCGTCCGCTCCCACTCGGCGGCCTTACTTTCTCAAATCCTACAGCCTAGTTTAAATGTGTTCAAACCAGCTTAGCCTGCTGGGAACAGGAGATCCAGAGAGATTAGCCGTGGCAAAAATAGGGAGGCATTAAGCATCTGAGCTGCCGTCCACCAGTCTGGTAGGGTGGCTACAAGCATGTCAAGGAGAGGTCTCGCGTTCTTCTAAAAAAGGCCGAGGCTGGAGGTGGAGCACGGACGATCGTCTCGCTCTCCTCTCCCTTCTTTCGCTTCGAATCACATGGGCAGGATTGAACCCGAGTCAGTTTCCGACTTCTCCTCTTTCCTACCCGCAGGGTGAAGAGAAGCAGGCAGGGGAGAAGCGCAAAACGGCAAAACGTGTATTTGAAAGGAACAGATGTGAGGGTGGAGGTGCGTTCTCCGAGCTTGTGGGTTGGCTTCCAAATGTTTCGTTACCAGGCTAGGTAACGTCTTCAGCGGAGTTGAGGAGAGGTCAGTGTTGGTGCTTATAAGGGCTTCAGGTGTGAATGTGCTGAGTGAGGGTCTTGTGATGGGAATAGATGTTGCTCTGCTCTTGCTTTGCACAGGGTCTGCATATCACACGTAGCCGTGAGCCGAAACCTGGCCTTGGTTTAGCTCAGCTGAAGGCAACTCGCCCCAGATTGTTCCGTGAACGGTGGTGAACTACATTGGGACCATGTATGAACCTAGCAGGTTTAAGGAATCTGGTTTAATGGAAAGGATTAAAGCGTGACAGGATAGCAGTCCCCCAATATTTAAGGGGCTGCCAGAAAGAAGGGGGGGACAACCTATTCTCTCAGGCAGTGTTTCTCAACCTTGACCATTTTAAGGCATGTGGACTTCAACTCCCAGAATTCCACAGCCAGCAATGGTCAAGGTTGAGAAACACTGCTAGAGGCAGGACAAGAAGCAACGGATGGAAACAAATCAAGGAGAGAAGCAATCTGGAACTAAGGAGGAATTTCCTAACAGCGAGAACAATTAACCGGTGGAACGGCTTGCCTTCACAAGTTGTGGGTGCTCTAGCCATTTGACTGGAATGGCAGAAGGTCTCCTGCTTGAGCAGGGGGTTAGACTAGAAGACCTCCAAGGTCCCTCCCAATTATTATTCTATTTTTTTATGTTCTATGGAAAAGGTTGTTCAGTTGCTAAGTCATGTCTGCCTGTTCATGACCCCATTGACCAGGGCACACCAGGCTGCCGTATCCTCCACTATCTCTGAGATTTTGCCCAAATTCATGTCCATTGTGTTGATGATGCTATCTAAGCATCTCCTCTTCTGCCATCTCCTTTGGCCTTCCTTCTTTCCCAACATCAGGGCCTTTTTCCAAAGAGTTCCCCCTTCTCATTTGGTGGCCAAAGGATTTGAAGCATCAGCTTCAGTTATCCTCCTTCCAAAGACCAGAATTGATTTCTTTTAGGATCTAGTGGAAAAGGTAGCGAAGCATTAAAAGAAAAGGGAAAAAAAGATGGAAAAGAGCTAAATCCACCCCAAGTGGAATTCCTGGAGCTTCAAACCTCAGAAAGTGTTCTAGTAAAATGACTCAATTGGAATAGAATAGAGCTGGGAGAGACCTTGGAGGTCTTTTAAATAATAATAAAGTTGGAAGGGACCTTGGAAGTCATCTAGTCCAACCCCCTGCTCAGGCAGGAAACCCTAGACCATTTCAGACAAATGGCTGTCCAGTTTCTTCGTAAAAACGTCCAGTGTTGGAGCATTCACCGCTTCTGGAGGCAGGTAGTTCCACTGGTTAATTGTTCTGTCAGGAAGTTTCTCCTTAGTTCCAGGTTGCTTCTCTCGATGAGTTTCCATCTGTTGCTTCTTGTCCCGCCTTCAGGCGCTTTGGAAAACAGCTTGACTCCCTCTTCTTTGGGGCAGCCCCTGAGATAATTGGAAGTCTGCTATCATGTCCCCCCTCGTCCTTCTCTTCATTAGATATCCCCAATTCCAGCAACTGTTCCTTATGCTTTAGCCTCCAGTCCCCTAATCATCTTTGTTGCTCTTCTCTGCACTCTTTCTAGCGTCTCATCATCTTTTTTCCATCGTGGTGACCAAAACTGGATGCCGTATTCTAAATGTGGCCTTACCAAGGCATTGTAGAGTGGTATTAATACTTCACGTGATCTTGATTCTATCCCTCTGTTAATGCAGCCTAGCACTGTGTTGGCTTTTTCGGCAGTTGCAGCACACGGCTGGCTTATATATTATTATACTCTTTCTAGAGTCTCAACCTCTTTTTTACATCGTGGTGACCAAAACTGGATGCAGGATTCCAAGTGTGGCCTTACCAAGGCATTGTAGAGTGGTATTAATACTTCACGTGATCTTGATTCTATCCCTCTGTTAATGCAGCCTAGTACTGTGTTGGCTTTTTGGACAGCTGCAGCACATGACTGGCTCGTATTTAAGGGATTGTCCACTAGGACTCCGAGGTCCCTCTCACAGTTACTACTACTGAGCAACATACCACTTATACTATACCTGTAACATTTGGTTTTTCTTGCCTAAATGTATTTTTTTTACCATTACATTTCGTTAGATAGCGCTCAGTGTTCAAGTCTGTCCAGATCCTCCTGTATCTTAAGCCTATCTTCTGCCAGCTTGGTGTCGTCTGCAAATTTGATGAGTTTTTCATCGATCCCCTCGTCCAAATCGTTGATGTTGAAGAGCACTGGGCCCAGAACAGAGCCCTGGGGCACCCCACTACACACTTCCCTCCATGTAGATGCGGTTCCATTGAGGACCACTCACTGAGTACGGCCGGTCAGCCAGCTATGAATCCATCTGGTGGTGATGCTGCCTAACCCACATTTTTCTATCTTGTCAAGTAGTAGGCTGTGATCTACTTTATCAAATGCCTTACTGAAATCCAAGTAAATTATATCCACAGCATTCCTCTGATCCACTAATTTTGTCACCTGGTCAAAGAATGCAGTAAGATTTGTCTGGCATGATGCTTTTGACAAACAGGTCCAACCCCCTGCTCAAGCAGGCGATCCTATACCATTTCAGGTAAGTGGCTGTCCGGTCTCTTCTTAAAAACCTCCCACAATGGAGTACCCACAACTTCTGGTGGCAAGCTGTTCCACTGGTTAATTGTTCTCACTGTCAGGAAGTTTCTTCTTAATTCCATGTTGTTTCTCTCCTTGATTAGTTTCCATCCGTTGTTTCTTGTTTTGCCTTCAGCTTTAGAATAGAATAGAGCGGGAAGGGACCTTGGAGGTCTTCTAGTCCAGCCCCCTGCTCAAGCAGGAGAACCTATACCATTTCATATAAATGACTGTCCAGTCGCTTCTTAAAAACCTCCAATGATGAAGTACCCATGTCTGAAGGCAAGGTGTTCCACTGGTTGTTGTTAGCAAGTTTCTCCTTAATTCCAGGTTGCTTCTCTCCTTGATTAGATTCCATGTTTCTTGTCTTGCCTTCTGGTGCTTTGGAGAATAATTTGACTCCCTCCTCTTTAGGGCAGCCCTAAAGTATTCCAGTACTTTACTGGAATACTGCTATCATGTCTCCCCTTTAGGAATTAGGAAGGTCTACAGACGCCTTACTCTGCTCTGCCACATCTTTTGATTCAAGAACTCATTACCTAAACACTTTGTGTGGAATCCATCAAGAGTTGAATCCTGGTTTGTTTTGTTTGTTTAGGAGAAAAAAGGCTAATTATTTCCAAGTTCTGTACCTTCTCCAGCTAAAGGGAACATTATGGAAGAAGCCCTGGGAATCTGTATTCCTTCCCCATTGAAGACGCCAGTGGCATGAGGATTAAGGCACTTTTCTGTTTGGTATGGTTGAGGAACAAGAAAATGAGTTTGCTCATTGTCCGTTGAGTTATAAAACTTTAATGTTTTATTATTAACATTATTAAAACTTTATTAACAGACACACAGACTGATTGATCATACGCAGGGATGCTGAGATCCTGAACCTGGATTGGCCTGGTCAACGTTCTATACTTTTTAGGCTTGAGCAGCTACACGAATAATTTGGAAATTTCAGCTGGTTCAGACAATATATGCTGCTGAGCAGCATCAAAAACGGACTATATACTACCAAAACTCTTGTTATGACCTTTAGCTGTGTGAAATGGTGCATCACAGGGCAACAATTTTTGAACCAAGGGATCGCAGATGGGCTAATTTACAGAATGAGTCCAAAATCCAGGATCCTGGCTCCTGAGGGAATGAAGTTTGGGAAAGCTGTGGTTGCTTTAATGCTACTGGCTGCTGCGGTCACAGGATTTTCATTTTCAATGTTCTGTGACAGTTTCCCAGCCAGTTTTGCAATCCCTTGCTCTCTCCAGCCACTTTACCTGCCTGCTGATGCTTCTGGCCAGATTCCCACAAGGAAACTTAATGAGGAAGCCAGAAGGAAGTTGTTCCCACTGCTTTTTTCCTACCCTTGGTGATTTTCTCTTTTTAGGTGAGGAAATATCTCTGGAAACAATGAGTCAACGGAGCTTGGGCCATCTAGCAATTGAATAAGCCGCAACTGCATGATTAATCAGGATTTATCATTCTCCTTCCATTCAATTGTTTCTGATTCAGAGATTGTCTAGACAAGTCCCTGCAGTTTTCTTGGTTAGCTTTTTCAGAAGTGGTTTGCCATTGTTTCCTTCCTAGGGCTGAGAGATAGTGACTGGTCCAAGGTCCTCCAGCTGGCTTTATGCCTTAAGGCAGTGTTTCCCAAACTTGACAATTTTAAGGCATGAGGACTTCAATTCCCAGAATTCCACAGCCAGCAACGCTAGCTGTGGAATTCTGGGAGTTGAAGTCCACATGCCTTAAAATTGTCAAGTTTGGGAAACACTGCCTTAAGGCAATACTAGAACTTACCGTATCCCAGGTTAAAGCCTAACACCGTCACCACAACACCAAACTGGCTCTCTGGACATTACTTGTGGCTTATTCCATGGGGAAATTGTCAATGCCTTGTGAGACAGAGGTGTGTTTCACCACACTGCTAATATTCCTGGACTTTTAATGGGCTTCAGTGCCATCAATGGAGATATTACTTCGACCATCCAGCAGGATTGAGCCTTGGAGACACTGTTCTGTGGCAGTCTTGGTCCTTCCTGACAGACCAGATTCAGAATGTGGTTGGTGTTTGGGGAGCATCACCTAGGCTAGTGTTCCTCAATATTGGAAAAATAATTAAAGTAATTGTGGACTAGAATAAGAATTCTGGGTTGATTTGTCCTATTGTTTTCTTGGGTGTCAATGGTCTTCTCAAACACCAAACTTCAGAAGTGCCAATGCTCTGTTTTACCCGCTTCTTCAAAATTCAACTTTGGATTCCACAGAGGCTCATGGAATCCAGGAAGAGCATGACTACTGAACGAGGCAATTCAACTATAAATGTATCCCAGTGCTGAGAACTGCAGGAGAGAAAAAAAGGAGTGTTAAAATGTTTTAATCAATTACCCCATTAGCTTACTTATAAAATTTATTGGCTACCCATCTTACTGCAGGATAACTCTGGGAAGGAAGGAAGGAAGGAAGGAAGGAAGGAAGGAAGGAAGGAAGGAAGGAAGAAAGAAGAAAAAAGGAAGAGAAAGAAAAAAGAAAAATAAAGAGAAAAGATAGTTGCGTGCGTGCACACACAGACACACAAAACACACAGACACACAAATAAGTTAATACAAGCAAATGTTACAGTCCAATACCTCATTAACTTGAATCTGAATTCTAAAAAAATTGTAGTTTTTATTTTAAAATTCTGCCAGCTGCCCTGAGGGTTCACTAGAGGAGGATAAACCAACTATAAACAAATAGATATTTGCCAATAGACACTTTGGTAGGTACCTTAGTTCATAATGTGCTCTAGGACTAGTAGGCAAATAATGCATAATTCTCTTTCGAAATTCGTATTTCTAGTTGATTCTCAAAAGAGTGCATAAATCTTTGGAAAAAACTACCCATGAGATTGTCTAGGCCAGCGGTTCTCAACCTGTGGGTCGGGACCCCATTTGGGGTCGAACGACCATTTCACGGGGTTCGCCAAACAATGCAGTCCGCCATTTTTTCCCGCTTTTCCTTAGCTGTGGTACTCCCTTATTAGACTCTTGAATAGAGTCTAATTCTATTGGTTTTCAAAAGCCAATAAGAATTGTCCAGGCTGTCTCTGCCCTGCTGAGCCTGCCAAAAGTCCCATTCTGCAAACGCTGCTGCACCAGTTGAGTAGTCCTCGACTTATGACCGGCTGAGTAGTCCTCGACTTACGACTGGTTGGGGGTCGCGGCATTAAAAAGGTTGAGAACCACTGGTCTAGGTATTTTTTTTTTAAAATAAAATCTCATGACCCGAGAATGGGATGACCCAAACTCAAGAATGGGAAAATAAGAGAAAAGCAAAAACGGTCAGATTCATCCATCGCCATCAACAGCTGCTGGCTTTCTTTTTCTTTTTCCCCTGCACACAGTTTAGAGCACAACCTTCAACCACAGAGAAAAGTATGCACGGGACCAAGGGACCGAGAGGTGGGTGATGGGACCTCCATCAAAGATCTGGAAGGTCTTCCCCACGGTGGCACTGGAACAAAAATAAATTAAGAAGGAAAACTATTTAAACTTCATAAATGGTTAAAACCTGGTGCAGAGAACTCCCCACTCCTGGGAAATCACTTCAACAACTGGATTCTTGCAAGATATTTTCACTTTCTGTTTTAACCTGGGAGTTGGGAGGTCTCGAAGGAGCTGTTGGCTGCCAAGCAGCAACCCCACAGCAACCCCACAGCTCTCTGCCTTTGCCCAAATTACAGGTAGTCCTCAACTGTGACTCACAATCACAACAGAGCCCAGAATTTCCAGGGCTAATCAAGATAAGAGTTTTGCCCAATTTTACGACCTTTAAGTGAATCACCACAGTTCTTATTAGCAACACAGTTGTAAAGCGAATCTGGCTTCCCCCATGGACTTTGCTTGTCAGGAGGTCACAAAAGAGACACTGGGACACTGAAGCGTCATAAATATGAGTCAGTTGCCAAGTGTCTGACCATGGGGATGCTGCAATGATTATAAACGTGAAAAGCAGTCTTGAGTCACTTTTGTCAGGGCTATTGTCACTCTGAATCGTCTCTATACGAATAGACATAAATCGAGAATTCCCTGTATGATGCGGATATTTTAAAAAACAACTTTTCACAAGTCCACCCTTTTGTGAGGACTGAGCATGACTCCTGTTCCAATTCGGAACAGGGGTTTTACCCTTTGCTCAGGGCCTGTAACTGCACCCTCTGCAGGAGGGTGTACAGCCAAAGGAGCCTGTACAGTCAAAGGAGCCCCTTCCTCTCGGGGGGGGGGGGAGGAGGGAGGGTGGCCACCTTGGATAAATGGGGTGTTTGGCTGCTTTAAAGTTGTGGAGTGGGAGAGCTGCATAATAAGATTTTTTTCCCCCTTGCATTAATAATAATAGTAGTAAAGTTGGAAGGGACCTTGGAGATCACTTAGTCCAACCCCCTGCTCAGGCAGGAAACCCTACACCATTTCGGACAAATGGCTGTCCAGTCTCTTCTTAAAAACTTCCAGTGTTGGAGCATTTACTGCTTCTGGAGGCAGGTTGTTCCACTGATTAATTGTTCTCACTGTCAGGAAGTTTCTCCTTAGTTCTAGGTTGCTTTCTCCTTGATTAGTTTCCACCCGTTGCTTCTTGTCCTGCCTTCAGGTGCTTTGGAAAATAGCTTGATTCCCTCTTCTTTATGGCAGCCCCTGAGATATTGGAATACTGCTATCATGTCCCCCCTTGTCCTTCTCTTCGTTAAACTAGACATACCCAATTCTAGCAACCGTTCCTTATATGTTTTAGCCTCCAGTCCCCTAATCATCTTTGTTGCTCTTCTCTGTACTCTTTCTAGAGTCTCAACATCTTTTTTACATCGTGGTGACCAAAACTGGATGCAGTATTCCAAGTGTGGCCTTACCAAGGCATTGAAGAGTGGTATTAATACTTCACGTGATCTTGATTCTATCCCTCTGTTAATGCAGCCTAGCACTGTGTTGGTCTTTTTGGCAGCTGCAGCACACTGCTGGCTCATATTTAGGTGATTGTCTACTAGGACTCCGAGGTCCCTCTCACAGTTACTACTATTGAGCATGGTGCCACCTATGCTGTACTTGTGCATTTGGTTTTTCTTGCCTAAATATAGAACCTTGCTTTTTTCACCATTGAATTTCATTTTGTTAGTTAGTGCCCAGTGTTCAAGTCTGTCCAGATCCTTCTGTATCTGAAGCCTGTCTTCTGGAGTGTTGGCTATTCCTGCCAGCTTGGTGCAAAACCCATTGGTGCTGGTGGAGGCTGCAGAAGTGAAGCTGGTCTGATGGAGTGAGGGAATCCTTTAGTGCAGGGATCCTCAATCTTGGCAACTTTAAGACTTGTGGACTTCTTAAGAGAAAGATAAAGTTTACGCCACTATTATTTTTGTTAGGTGTTATTGTAGATTTTGATGTTAAAGAGATTAATTTGATGTCAAATCTTATAACAGCTGCAAGATTATTGGTAGGGCAATATTGGAAGAAAGATTCTTTGCCTACTATGGAAGAATGGATACTCAAGGTGTCTAATTTAACAGAAATGGCAAAAATTTCCGCTTATTTGAAGGACTACTCACAAGAAGGATATATTTTGGTTTGGAGAAGACGGATAGATTATATTCAGAATAAATATGAGACTAAAAAGTATTATTTAGCTTATGAGTAAATTTTAGATTATCATTAATAGTTTAATATGGTTGAATTTATATTATTTTTAGTATTATGGTTTAATTATATTATTATTTTTGCTTTTAATTTGTTAATATTTATCTTGAAAAGGAGTTAAAGCATGTTAGGGATTTGACTGTTTGTATAGTTAGGTAATGTTAGTTAGAGTATGATTGTTTATTTGTAACCCTGTAATCAGCTCTGGGAAGTGGGGGAGGGGTGGGAGGGATTTGGGATATATATTGTACAAAATCTTTAAAACTTTTAATAATTAAAAAAAAAAGACTTGTGGACTTCAATTCCCAGAATTCCTCAGCCAGCAAAGTTGCCAAGGAGGACCCCTGCTTTAGTGGCTGAAGCACAGGATTAAAACAATCTACAGAAGGGAGGGGGAGAATTCACAAAAAAAAAACAAACAAAAAAAACACCCAAAGTTGTAGGCTAAGCAGCAACTTGCCCATTTACATATACACAGAAAGGATGACGTGGAGGTTGTCTTAGACAACGCAGAGGCAGAGATTAGGACTCGCCTCCCTCTCCTTTGTGGTCCTCCTTCTTGAGAAAAGAGACAAACAGGAAGAAAGGAAGGAAGAAAAAGTGAAAGGAGAGAAACAAAAAAGGGAAAGTGGGAAGGAATGGAGAGGAATGAATGAATGTAGCTCACAAGTGCCCCCTGGGCCATTCCACATCCCTGCCTTCCATTCCTGGTGGGGGCAGGATTTGCCTCACCTCCAGGAGCCACGGCTGCTCTTTCTCTAGATACCACTTCAGCTTCTCCGACCGCCAAGTCCAGGCTTGGTTGCGGCCTTGATCCCGACTAGCGGTCCTGGGCTGACCTTCTTCTGTGAGAGGGAGCAATCAATACCATTAGACCAGCGAGTTGGCAATCCACCCGCCCACCTGACTGTGGCTTGGTACTAGTTGCACGGGATTCAGGTAATCCTGGTTTGATGGTGGTAATTGGGATTGGCAACTCTGCCGCTAAGCCATGTGTGACTATCACAGGACTGCAGCAACGTTGCAGGTGAAACCCACGACGTCCTGTGGTTGCCATTTGCCAGCTTCCCCTTTTATTCTGTTCCACGGAAACTCGCAACGAAGGCCATAAATGGCAACCGCAGGGACGTCGTGACAGCTTCGACTACAAGGGCGTTTTTAAGCCTCCCTTGTTCAGCACTGTTGTTAACTTGCAATCCCAACCTGTCAAACTCTGGCACGTCTGTTTGTTTATAGAGCCAATCCAATGTTAAATGGCCATCTTAGATTCCCCCCCCCCCCTCTTCTGAGGCTTAATCGTCACGGTTCTATCATTTTAACTTTTTTAACCCTAATTTAATTTTTAATTTTCGTGTTAATTGTACGCATGGTTTTCTGTATCAGCTATATTACATTGTACACCACCCAGAGTTCCTCTCTGAGGGAGGTGGGCAGTTTAGAAATACGAGATGTAAATGCAGTAAGTGAATAAAAAGTATAAGTAGCCTTCAGCTTACGACTACTTATTTAGCCATCGTTTGAAGCGATGACAGTGCTGATAAAACTTCGGACTAGTCCTTGCACTTACGACGGTTGCAGAGTCCCTGCGATCATGTAATCACAATTTGGAGGCTTGGCAACTGGGACACCTTTACAGTGATTGTTGTGACCAGGGGAGATGGGATTGCTATTTATAGCCTTCCCTGCTGGCTTGCATGAGGATGCTGCAAGGGGCGCTACCAGGGAAGGGGTGTTAAGAGCCCTGGTGGCGCTGCAGGGGTTAGAGCAGGGGTAGGCAACCTGGGCTCTTTTATGACCTGTGGACTTCAACTCCCAGAATTCCTGAGTTGAAGTTTTGTCATAAAAGAGCCAAGGCTGCCTACCCCAGGTTAGAGTGAGGAACTGCAGGCTGACTCTTGATTGCCAGGAGTTCGATCCCTTCAATCCTGACCAGCTTGAGGTCGACTCAGCCTTCTGTCCTTCCGAGGTCGCTAAAATGAGGACCCGGATTGTTGGGGGCAAATAGGTTGACTCTGTAAACCGCCCAGAGGGCTGTAAAAGCGCTGTGAAGTGGTATATAAGTCTAAGTGCTATTGCTATCCTCTCCCTCTCCTTCTTTTTGTGCCCTTTTCTGTCTACCTTTCTTTCCTTTCCTTCCCTCTCCCTTCCCTTCTTTTTCCATTTCTTTCTCTCCTGCCCCCTCCATCTCTTATTTCTTTTCTCTTTTTCTCTTCCTCTTCTTTCCTTCCTCCCTTTTTCTTTTTTTCTCTCCCTTCCCTTCTTTCTCTTGCAAGAGCCGTGGTGGCGCAGGGCTTAGAATACAGCACAGCAGGCTGACTCTGCCCACTGCCAGCAGTTCGATCCTGACCGGCTCAAGGTTGACTCTGCCTTCCGTCCTTCCGAGGTCGGTAAAATGAGGACCCAGATTGTTGGGGGGCAAACAGGCTAATTCTGCCAACCGCTTAGAGAGGGCTGTAAAAGCACTGTGAAGCGGTATATAAGCCTAAGCGCTATGGCCATTCAGCGCTGGTTTTGTCACCTTAAAGTGCAGCCGATGCGTTCCATGAGGTGCATGTCGTCAGCACTGGGGTTGTTGAAGCTGCACTCGCAAAGCCTGCCGTTGAAGCGGACCATCCCATCCTCTAGTTGTGGACCTGAGGAGACAGGAGGAGGAAGAGGGTCACTAGGAACACCGGGCCCTGCCGCACATATCTATCCAGCTTGGCTTGAGACTCCTCAGGCCCCACCCTGGCTGATCTGTGGGGGAGAAAGGTCAGAGTGGGGAGAAGCTGCTGCTCTGCCTGATTTGTCAGAAGAAAAGGCCGTGCAGCAGTCAGACGCGGGAGAGCAAAGCCAAGGCCCAGCATGGAAGCTCTAGGGCAGTGGTTCTCAACCTTTCTAATGCCGCGACCCCATAATACAGTTCCCCATGTTGTGGTGACCCCCAAACACTTATACATCACCAGGTGCCAGGGGCGTGGCCAAAGGGGAAAAAATGGCTGACAGCCTTGTTTGGCGACCCCCGTGAAATGGTCGTTCGACCCCAAATGGGGTCCCGACCCACAGGTGGAGAACCACTGCTCTAGGGCCAAAACAGGCTTGGTTGTCACAAGCGTGCAGTGTTCTAGGTGTAGTTTTAGGTGAGGTGCTCTTCCACTGCTGGGAATGGAGGTTTCTGGGATGCTCACCTGGGTTGGGGTTTGTGTTTGATCAACACAAACCGTTCCTGGGATGACCCATTCAGGTTCCATCTTAAAAGGCAGTTGAAGAGCTTGTTGGGCCTCTGACCATTCTGTGGTAGGCAAAGGGGTCAGGGGCGTCTACTCTCAACGGAGCCAAGACTTCAGGAGTTAGGAACCGGAAGGCAATTGGAGGGAGCTGATTGACGCCTCCCGCCATTCAAAAGCGTCTTCTCGTCATAGTCAAGCAGCCCGAGTTTCAAAAGCAGAGCAATCAGAGAAGCTGAAAAAGAAGGAATTGGCGATGGGGGAGACCGAACAAGAAGCTGAAGCAGCTCTAGTGGAGGCCAAAAGAAAGATCGATGCAGCACAAAGAAAAGCCGAAGCAGCCCAAATGGAAGCCAAACAAAAGGTCATACAGAGCTGTCGAGGTGGCACACGAAGTAGCAAGAGATGTCCTTCAGAAACCAGGCCAACGTGCCACCTTCTCGCACAATTTGGAACGACCGGACATACCAGCTGAGAGGGCTGAGTCTCTACCATTGGCAGTTAACCCCAACAAGGAGTTTTCGGTTCTGGGTCAGCCACTTTTTCTCCGCCCAGCCAATCTCAAAAGATTGTGATGGTGGGGAGGAAGGAGGAGAAACGGCTGCACCACACGGAGCATCCTAAGATGGGGTGGAAATAGAATAGAAACTAGACCTGGAAGGTACTTTGGAGGTCTTCTAGTCTAGCCCCCTGCTAGAGTTGGAGAACTTATACTATCTCAGACAAGTGACTGTCTAGCCTCTTCTTAAAAATCTCCAGTGATGGAGCAGCCACCACTAGTTAATTGTCCTCACTGTTAGCAAATTTCTCCTCAATTCCAGGTTGCTTCTCTCTTTGTTCAGTTTTCAACCATTGTTTCTTGTCCTGCCCTCTGGTGCTTTGGAGAATAATTTTACCCCCTCTTCTTTGTGGTAACCCCTCAAATACTGGAATTCTGCTATCATGTCCCCCCTTGTCCTTCTTTTCTCTAGCCTAGCCAAGCCCAAGTCCTGCAGCCGTTCTTCGTATGTTTTATCCTCCAGGCCTTGGATCATCTTAATTGCTCTGTGTTGTAGAGTAACTAGGATGATCAGGGGTCCAAAGGTTAAAACAGTATGATGAACAATTGAGGGAATTACCTTCTCCGTGGGGGCTTCCTCCCTTTGGAACACCATTTCCCCCCCCCCCCGAATATTAGGCTGCTCCCCCCTGACCCTCTTTCGGAAGGCCCTGAAGACCTGGTTCTGCCAGCAGGCCTGGGAGCCCAGAGCGGGATGGAGCCCATTCAATGGCTGGTATGAGTGTGCATTGTTCTTTTATGTTGTTTTTATTTCCTGTGAGCCGTGTCGAGTCCATGTGAGCAAGTAGGCGGCAATATCAATTTTCCAAATACCGTAAAAGTAAACAAACTCTGAAGCCTGTGGAAGAGAAGAATGGGAAACGGGCATGAGAACTGTCTTGCTGTTGTTGTTGTTAATTGTGAAGTCGTGTCCGACCCATCGCGACCCCATGGACAACGTTCCTCCAGGTCTTCCTGTCCTCTACCATCTTCTGGAGTCCATTTAAGCTCACGCCTCCTGCTTCAGTGACTCCATCCAGCCATCTCATTCTCTGTCGTCCCCTTCTTCTCTTGCCCTCAATCTTTCCCAGCATTAGGCTCTTCTCCAGGGAGTCCTTCCTTCTCATTAGGTGGCCAAAGTACTTGAGTTTCAACATCAGGATCTGGCCTTCTAAAGAGCAGTCGGGGTTGATCTCTTCTAGGACTGACCAGTTGGATCGCCTTGCAGTCCAGGGGACTCGCAGGAGTCTTCTCCAGCATCATAGTTCAAAGGCCTCCATTCTTTTGCGCTCAGCCTTTCTTATGGTCCAACTTTCACATTGCAACTGGGAAAACCACGGCCTGGACTATACGCACTTTTGTTGGCAGGGTGATGTCTCTGCTTTTTAGTATGCTGTCTAGATTTGCCATGGCTTTCCTCCCCAGGAGCAAGCGTCTTTTAACTTCTTGGCTGCAGTCCCCATCTGAGGTGATCTTGGAGCCCAGAAAAATAAAATCGTTATTTCCCAGAGTTCGGCCAGGCTTCCAGGCACAACCCGAGGCTTCTTCGAACCCTGGCCTACTTGGTCGGGCTGTTGTAGGAACAAACCAACAAACAAACCTCCCACCTGTTAGAAGTAAAGTCTTCATCCTGGTTCATCCAAGCCGGGAATAAATAAGCAAACATGGCGACTGCTTTGGGAAGAAGGTTACAGTTTATTGCAGAAAGATGGTTCTTCAGAAAAGTGCAGAGGGGAGAGAAGGGCTGAGCACATGGGGCAGTAGGCTTTTATACCCCCTCTAGCCTTGTTTGGAATAGTTTCCTGTTCCTGTGGCACGAACTTTGAGGCTGTTTCTGAGTGTTTGTCTAGGCCTTGATACCTGTGGTTTAATCCTATTATCATATCCTGCTTCCCAGGTGATGGGGCTAGTGCAGTGGTTCTCCACCTGTGGGTCGGGACCCCATTTGGGGTCGAACGACCATTTCACGAGGGTCGCCAAACAACGCAGTCCGCCATTTTTTTCCCCCTTTTCCTTGGCTGTGCTACTCCCTTTTATTCTATTGGCTTTTGAAAGCCAATAGAAGAGACTCTCTTGAATAGAGTCTAATTCTACTGGCTTTCAAAAGCCAATAGGAATTGTCTAGGCTGTCTCTGCCCTGCTGAGCCCGCCAAAAGTCCCATTCTGCAAACGGGGCTGCACCCGTTGAGTAGTCCTCGACTTACGACCGGTTGGGGGTCGCAGCATTAAAAAGGTTGAGAACCACTGGGCTAACGACTCCTAGAGTTTGGGGGGGGGGTATGCAGATCTTCTCTTTTGTCTTCTTGATTGCTCTGGCTCCAACTTTCTGATGGTTTTACATCTGCATTTGTATGGGGCTAAAGTCTTGCTTGGGGCAGAGAGATAGATTTGGGGCCAGGTTTGGTTTTAAAAAAATCCTTTTGAGGAAAAATATATTTTCCTTTTTAATATTTCCTTCTGGGGGGGGGGGCTAACTTCCATCACACCCCTCGAATGAGCTGGCAAACCATTAGGACGCCTTCCTCCCCCTCCCCAGACTCTCTGGGCCAGGCCTCGGGGGAGACCCTAAGCCCGGTTGGAGGACGACGGGAGCCGTAGCCCGCTATAGACGCCAGAGCCTCCTGCCCGACCACCCCGCCGTGTAGCCGCCATGACGGAAAAAGCGGCCTACCTGGCAAGGCCGTCGTGCAGGACGGCCCTGAGAGAGGAGGCGGCCAGGGTCCGCCGGCGAGGAGGGCGGCCTTTCCCCCCTTAAAATTCCCTGGGAGAGGGGAGAGGGGAGGCCCAGCGACGACCCCGCCATCGCCGGCCGCCATCTTGCCGTTTCCTCAGAGAGGGAGCAAGAAGGGAGGGGGGAGGGGAGGGAGGAATGGCGGGAAAAAAAAGAAAGGGGAAAAAAAAAAGAATCGCGCGCGCCCGCGCGGAGCATGCCGGGATGACGTAATGCGCCGGCTGGCCGGCCGGCAGACTCACGCGCTCCCCCCAGCAACACAGGCCCCGCCTATGCCCGGCCTCGCCGCTCCTTCCCATAGACTTAGCAAACGCTTAGAGGCGCAGCGGGGAAGAAAATACTTCCGGGATCGCTGCTTGCTGTTTTTTTTTCTTTTTTGGGACTCTTCCCCCCCCCCCTTTCTCAACGTCAGCCATTTTAAGAGGCCTGGACTTCAGCTCCCAGAATTCCCCAGCCAGGCTTAGCGGGCCACAAAATGAAAGGGTGGCTCCTGATAACTTCGGCTGGGCCTCCATTGGGGGGGGTTGTTTCGTGGAAGTGGGCTGTTCCTTCCTTCCTTCCTTCCTTCCTTCCTTCCTTCCTTCCTTCCTTCCTTCGATCTTGGTTCCAACTTGAGGATTTCCTGGTGGTCTTCCATCCAAAAAGCTGAGCAGGGCCCCAACTCGCTTCGCTTTGGGAAATCAGCCAAGCTGGCCTGGACCTCGATATGAAACGTTCCCCAACACTCCCCAACAGCCTTCCCAAGCTGGGTCAGGGGTCTCTGAAAGATCATTAACACAATTTCCACCCCCCCCCAATTAGCTCCAAGCCCAAAGGCCAATAGCAAGGAATTGTGGGAACTGCTGCCCAAAACGTTCTGCAGGACCCCAAGTTCCTTCCTCCTGCTTTTAGTCCCACCGTATAACCCCCTTTCCTGTGAAAAATGGGTCTTAATAAAGGCTTAAATCCACAGAGACCTCCGTATCACAGAGATCATGTCCAAGGCGCCCCTCTGTGCAGGCCAGAGGTAGGCAACCTTGGCTCTTTTATGACTCGTGGACTTCAACTCCCAGAATTCCTGAGCCAGCATGGCTGCCTCAGGAATTCTGGGAGTTGAAATCCACGAGTCATAAAAGAGCCAAGGTTGCCCACCCCTGCTACAGGCAGCCCTCAACTTATGACCACAATTGAGCCCCAAATTTATGTTCCTAAGTGAGACACTTAAGTGAGGTTTGCCCCATTTAATGACCTTTCTTGCCACAGTTGTTAAGTGAGTCACTGCAGTGGTTAAGTTAGTCACACGGTCGTTAAGTGAATCTGGCTTTCCCTATTGACTTTGCTTGTCAGGAGATCTCAATGGGGATCACGTGACCTTGGGACACAGCAACCGTCATAAGGATGAACCAGTTGCCAAGCATCCGAATTTTGATCACATGACCACGGGGAATGCCGCAAAGGTCGTAAGTGTGAAAAATGGTCATAAGTCACTTTTTTCACTGCCGTTGTCACTTTGAGCGATCAAGAAACTGCAAAGAATTTAATCCCTACACTAATTTTCGCAAGCTTCTCTCCATCGGCAGATTTCTTTCATTTTTCCACAGAATCAGTTTTATTAATCCCACACGGGAATAAATAAATCCTTGTGGTGATATTAGAAGTGGGGTGATGGAAGGATGGGGAAGGCGGTTTATTTTGCGTATGGCATGAAATTCATGGATAGCAGCAGTAAAGAGATACGGAAAGAACTCATACACCTCAGGTGGAGATGTGGTCAATTTTCTAAGCTATAAGAAATTATAGAATAGAACAGAACAGAAAATATACAATAGAAAATATAGAATAGAATAATAGTAAGGTGACCAACTTTTTTTACAATGAAAAGGAGAACACAAATAAATTGAAGACAAAATATTGTAAATAAAAGAAACATTTTATTCATTGCAACAATAATACAGAATACACTATAATGTGATAAATGCATAATAAAAATATTTGTGACAATAACATTTTATATTGTAATTATGCTTACATGCCGCGCCCCTGCCCACAGCCGCCCGGCCAGCACTGCTGGCCCGCCGTGTAGAGCGGGCCCCACGGCTCACAAAGCACCAGCTGCGCCGGCTCCAGCCCCGGGGGGCAGCCTGCTGTCAACACACCCCACCTGCAGCCGCCCCGCCAGCACCACCGCCCACCCTGCACAGCCCTGTGTAGAGCAGCCCCCGTGGCTCCCACATTATGGGGGGCAGCCGGCCACCACTGCCCCTCACACTCCCGCCCGCAGCAGCCCCGCTGCCCCTTCCTCTTGCGCCGGCAACCATTATTGCCTTAGCAGGGCCGAAGATCAAGAGAAAGTTACTGTGGCCCCGCCACTCCAGTCTCCTCCAAGTATCTTCAGAACTAACTAGGACAGTGGTTCTCAACCTGTGGGTCGGGACCCCATTTGGGGTCGAACGACCATTTCATGGGGGTCGCCAAACAACGCAGTCCGCCATTTTTCTCCCCTTTTCCTTAGCTGTGCTACTCCCTTTTATTCTGTTGGCTTTTGAAAGCCAATAGAAGAGACTCTCTTGAATAGAGTCTAATTCTATTGGCTTTCCAAAGCCAATAGGAATTGTCCAGGCTGTCTCTGCCCTGCTGAGCCCACCAAAAGTCCCATTCTGCAAACGGGGCTGCACCCGTTGAGTAGTCCTCAACTTACGACCGGTTGAGTAGTCCTCGATTTACGACCGGTTGGGGGTCGCGGCATTAAAAAGGTTGAGAACCACTGAACTAGGAGATGGTGTAGTTGGGTAGCAGGGAGGGGTGCAATGTTCTTGCCAATTCGCCTTCGCTGCAGACAACTTACATGTGCAAAGTTTGCCAGCCGGATGTTTTGGCGCGCTCAGCAGCAATTCCTATTGGCTTTCGAAAGCCAATAGTGCAGTGGTTCTCAACCTTTTTAATGCCGCGACTCCCAACCAGTCGTAAGTCGAGGACTACCCAACTGGTCGTAAGTCGAGGACTACCAACCGGTCGTAAGTAGAGGACTTTCCCTGCCCGGGAGTGCTGCGCATGTGCGGTGTCACCCCCTGCGCTGGCCGAGGTGTAGGTGGCAAACGGCAGAGACAGCGCAGGCCGACCACCAGCTAGGCCACCAGCTGGCCCAGCCCAAGGGAGGTAAGGCACCCGCCGGGCCCCACACGCGCCAGCAACCCTCCCTGCACCCGCCAGCCTCCCACCTCCCACCCCTGGCCCTCTTTTACTTACATTTTTAGTAGTTGCTCAGCGGGGAGGAGTGGAAGCTTCCAGACAGCTCGCCTTCGCTGCAGACAACTGGTGCAGCACCGTTTGCAGAATGGGACTTTTGGCGGGCTCAGCAGGGCAGAGACAGCCTGGACCATTCCTATTGGCTTTGGAAAGCCAATAGAATTAGACTCTGTTCAAGAGAGTCTATTCTATTGGCTTTCAAAAGCCAGTAGAATAAAAGGGAGTAGCACAGCTAAGGAAAAGGGGAGAAAAAGTGGCGGACTGCGTTGTTTGGCGACCCCCGTGAAATGGTCATTCAACGCCAAATGGGGTCCCGACCCACTGGTTGAGAACCGCTGCAATAGGGGGAGTAGCACAGCTCATGCAAAAGTTGAAAAAAAAAAACATCAAAAAAAGGTGCCGGAACGCCGTTCTGACATTCTATGAGGAAAAAAAAAGCCCTGAAGATTAGTTTTCAAATATTGAAAAGGAGGACATGTAGGAGGACACTTTTTGAGGGAGGATAGAACTTACAAAAGAAGGACTGTCCTCCCTAAAGGAGGACGGTTGGTCACCTTAATAATAGAACAGAACAGGATAGAATAGAGTAGGATAGAAATAGAGCAAAATAGAATAGAATATAAACATAAAATAGAAATATAGAATAGAATGCAGAATTGAGCATTTCTTTGAAGACGTTTCACTTCTCATCCAAGAAGAGTCCATAGTCCTTCTCATTCCATAGATTCCATAATAAAAGAGTTGAAGAAGCTTCTTGGATGAGAAGCGAAACCTCTTCAAAGACAAAAAAGAAAGTCCAGTTGCCTCGTGAAAAAGCACTTTTGGATGAAGAAGTTACAAATTTTGTTTTAAAATACGTTGGTTCATACAAATAAAATAAGTATTCTACATATTACTATCTAGGCCAACTTATCTAATTAAGTGTGGCATTTTTTAAACTGGAGAAAGTCTTTTTGTCCCGTATAAGCTCCCAGATGGCAACTAGTCACTATATGAAGCAGTGTTTGTCAGGGATAAATGAATACGGATTTTCGTATGCGGGGATTGCTCTGCTGTAAACAGAGGATCTGATGAGATTGCAGAGATTATTAGCTAGAATAGATGCTACAGGATCAGGATGGATCTGAAAACTGGCCAGTTTAGAGAAAAGAAGGACCAGCGGGATATGATAGCAGTATTTCAGTATTTGAGGGGCTGCCACAAAGAAGAGGACAATTAACCAGTGGAACAGCTTGCCACCAGAAGTCGTGGATGCTCCAAGACTGGAGGTTTTTACGAAGAGATTGGATAGCCACCTGTCTGAAATGGTATACGATGTCCTGCTTGAGCAGGGGGGTTAGACTAGAAGGCCTCCAATGTCCCTTCCAGCTCTATTCTAATTGAAGTCCACATATCTTAAAAGCTGCCCAGTTTGAGAAACACCGCCCTAGACAGCCCTACAAGCATGGCACTTCTCTTGGGCATTTCATTTTTATTTATTAATTTGACTTTTCAGCTCTCCCCTCCATCATTTTTGGTGCAATGCTGAAGGGAGTAAAAGGGGACAGCCAGGGTGAAGACTAAAGTCTGGGTCAGCCATGTCAGGTTGAGATGAGGTCATAGCCACACAACTGGCCAGGTTTTTTTTTTTTTTTTACACTTGGTACATTGCCAGTGCATAAAGATGAGTTCTGAAGCTGTGAGGTCACAACAGACCGCCTTTCTAGCTGCAGGGAAGTTGAGCCAAGCCTGGTCCGATCATGGTTTGTGCTGGACGCTGTGACTTGTACCAGGCTGTGAAAGATGGAAAAAGGAGGCTTGCTTTTATTTTTTTTAAAAAAATATTGTATTGATTTTTAACAATTACAATCTTTAGTACTTAGTGGACAACGTGTTGTCTGGGTTCGCATATTTAACATTAACTTCTTTAATATAAATCTATTCAATACTGTACAATCCAGGGTTTTCTCCGTGATCCTTTATTTCCAAATGATTTTCATTTTCCCCAAGATACACAATAGAATTGTTACTATTAATACATACAAAATTGAATATATACATCCTCTTCATATTTTCTAGTGTTAGACAAATAACAGTAATATCAGTTTATAACCTCTTTTCTAACCAATTTATATTTTAAATGTATTTGAAGCTGAAATCTCATTAAATCAATATCCTGTTTTTCATATTCTTATTTAAGTTTAATTTCCCATCAATATTCGGAATATTTTTGTCAGTTATGGTTTTCTCAAGATTAATTACATTTATATAGCTAAGAGTTTCATTTATATAAGCCATCCTCATATTTTCATAATTTCCATGTATATATATAAAAAGTGCTATTCTAATTATAAATCAGATCTTTCTTATTATAGAAGTCTAATTATATCTAAAGGTTATCCATTCTTTTAATCATATTCGAACAAATGTTTAATCATATGATGCTCCCTCTGGCAAGTCAAATCTGCTGTTTTTTAAGTCTGACTCTAGTTTCCAAAGGAGGCTTGCTTGATGGAAACCAAGGCTGGTGCTGATGGGGGGGTCATAATTAGATGGGAGCCCCCTTCCTTCGTAGGTCTTCGGCTCAGGAGCGCACTGTCCTGCAACAACAGCCCTGCAAGGTAGTCTTCCTCCTACCCAGTGCCGAGGCTGTTAACACAGGTGGACCTCAGCTTACAATAGTTCAGGGGAGAGCAGGGGGCTGGACTAGAAGACCTCCAAGGTCCCTTCCAGCTCTATTCTATTCTATTCTATTCTTTCTATAATTCTATTCTTTCTATAATTCTATTCTATTCTATTCTTTCTATAATTCTATTCTATTCTAATCTATTCTTTTTATAATTCTATTCTATTCTACTCTATTCTATTATTTCTATATTTCTATTCTATTCTTTCTATAATTCTATTCTATTCTTTCTATTCTATTCTTTCTATAATTCTATTCTATTCTATTCTATTATTTCTATTTCATTCTATTCTTCTATTCTGTAATTCTGCTCTCTATTCTCTTCTATATTCTCTTCTCTTCTCTCCTGTTCTATTCCTCTTCTCTCCTCTCTTATTCTATTCTGTAATTCTACTCTCTATTCTCTCCTCTTCTGTTCGATTCCTCTCTTCTCTTCAACCGTTCCAAGTTCAACGGCACTGAAAAAAGGCTCATATGATCGTTTTTCACAACTTACAGCCGCTGCACCATGTCCACGGTCACACGATCAAAATCCAGGCCGCTTGGCAACCGACTTATGATGGGTTGCGGTGTCCCGTTTTGTGATCTTCTGACCCGCAAAATCACCGGGAGCACCAGGTTCACTAAACAAAGCATGTTGACTTAAGAAATGCAACGATTCACTTAAACAGCGATGGGGCAAACTCGTTTCACGAACATCTCGCTTAGCAACATTACGTTTTGGGCTATATTGTGGTCGTAACTTGAGGACTACAGGTGTTTTCTCGCCCTTGGTGCAAGGGGGAACCTCAACGAGGGGGGGGATAAGTATGCAAGTCTAGGCCAGGGTGGGGAACCCTGGCTCTTTGATGACTCGTGGACTTGCAACTCCCAGAATTCCCGAGCCAGCTATGCTGGCTCGGGAATTCTGGGAGTTGAAGTCCACGAGTCATCAAAGAGCCAGGGTTCCCCACCCGGGGTCTAGGCTTAAGGGAAGGACCTTGATTGATCCAAGGCCGCTTTTCCTCCAGGCAGGTTTAGGAAACCAGCTAGACACCCACGCGTGTAATATGGGGGACCTGCTCCACGCGTGGCTTCCTAGCCCTCCCCACCCCCTTCAACAGTCCCGACACGGAAGTAGGCCTAGCATCCCGGCAAACGGCCCCGTTGGAAGCACACAAGACACGCGTCGGGCCGGAGAGTAACGTGAGAAGCGGCGCCGAAGCGGACGGGAAGTGCGCAGGCGCCGCCCTCCCGGTTTTTTTCCCCCCCCTTCCTGGCGCGCGTGCGCAGGCGCACGCGAGCGGCAACGGCTTGTGAACGGCGCCGCGTCGCCCCACGCCGCGTCCAATGAGCGGCGGGCTGGCGGGCGGGGCGAGGGGCGTGGCCAGCAACGCCACCCGCCTCCGCCCTCCTGCTGTTGCTGTGCCGACTTGAGGGGAGCGGAGTGGCTCGTCGCGCGGCCGCAGGGACCCGCGAGGCTTTTTTTTTTTTCTTCCTCTTTTCCTTCCTTCCTTCCTTCGCTTCGCGGCCGCCTCTTCTTCCTCCGCCTTCCTCCTCCTCCTCCTCCTCGTCGTCCCTCCCCTCCCCTCTTCCCCGCCGCCGCCGCCATCTTCCTCTTCCCTGCTCGGGCACCCCGCCGCAGTCGCAGCCGTCGTCAGGTGAGCGCGGCCCAGGCCGTTGGGGGTGCGGGGCTTGGGCGGGGGGGGGGCAAATGGGGGAAGGCCGCCTCGCCGGCCAGGCTGCTTTGCGGCCTGGCGGACCTGTGACGCGAACGGGGGGGCGGGGCCTGCGCGTGCGGCAGGAGGAGGAGGGGGGGCAGCCCGACGCCGGCCTTGCGCGGACGTGAGGCGCGCGGCGTGACGTCACAGGCGCGCGGGACTCCGCGTCATAATCCCCGGACCGGCCTGGTCTCGGCGCGCGCGCGCGCTTTGCTCCTGTGGCCGCTTTTCCCGGCGTGGATTTGGGGAAAGAAGGTAGGCCGCGGCGCCCATGGCTGGCTGGCGGGGCGGGAAGGCCTCGGGGCTTGGCCACTCGCCGGGAGGCTCTGCCTGCCATCTCCTCCCCATCCCCGTCGCGTCACTTTGACCTGGGTTGGGCCTTGAGCGTTTGCAAAGTCCCACGTCGGATCCTCAGCAGCCTCGCCTCTTCTGGTCGCTCTGCCTTCCGTTTTGATGCAACTCGGGAGGCTTCCAGAAAGAGACTGGGCGCTCTGAATATTACAAGAGAGAATATCTCCAGATGCCTAATATTACGAGAGAGAATATTCCTAGGTGCCTGATATTATAATAGAGAACATTTCTAGGTGCCTAATATTAGAGACTATTTCTAGGTGCCTTGTTACAGAAAATATTGCTAGGTGCCCAATATTATAATATAAAATATTTCTAGGTGCCTAATATTACAATAGAGAATATTTCTAGGTGCCTAATAATAGAAAATATTTTTAGGTGCCTAATATGAGAACATTTCTAGGTGCCTAATATTACAATAGAGAACATTTCTAGGTGCCTATTATAATAGAGAACATTTCTAGGTGCCTAATATTATAGAGAATATTTCTAGGTGCCTAATAATATTATAGAGAACATTTCTAGGTGCCTAATAATATTATAGAGAATATTTCTAGGTGCCTAATATAATAGAAAATATTTTTAGGTGCCAAATATTAGAGAGAACATTCCTAGGTGCCTTATAGTAGAAAATATTTCTAGGTGCCTAATATTAGAGAGAACATTTTTATGTGTCTAATATTATAAAAGAAAATATTTCTAGGTGTTTAATGTTACAATAGAGAACATTTCTAGGTGCCTAATATTAGAGAATATTTCTAGGTGCCTTATAATAGAAAATATTTCTAGGTGTCTTAATATTAGTAGGGAATATTTTTAGGTGCCAAATATTAGAACATTTCTAGGTGCCTAATATTACAATACAGAACATTTCCAGGTGCCTGATATTAGAGAGAACATTTCTAGGTGCCTAATATTACAATAGAGAACATTTCTAGGTGCCTAATATTATAAAAGAAAATATTTCTAGGTGTCTAATGTTACAATAGAGAATATTTCTAGGTGCCTAATATTACAACAGAGAACATTTCTAGGTGCCTAATATTAGAGAATATTTCTAAGTGACCTTATTATAAAAAAAATTTCTAGGTGCCTAATATGAGAGAATATTTCTAGATGCCTAATATTATAAGAGAATATTTCTAGATGCCTAATATTATAAAAGAAAATATTTCTAGGTGTCTAATATTACAATAGAGAACATTTCTAGGTGCTTATTATAATAGAGAACATTTCTAGGTGCCTAATATTATAAAAACATTTATAGCTAAGGTTAAAATGCACGGTTTGTTTGCTTGCAGACGTTTCTTCCAGATACTGATGAAGTTCCTCAGCTGGGTAATGGGACGTCTGCAAGAAAACAACCAGCTCAGACAGCACCAAGGACTTCAAAGCTTATAAGCTACTGTTAGGGCCATTTTGCCTAGAACTCTCAAATTAATAACAGAATAATAGAACTGGAAGGGACCCTTGGAGGTCATAAGATGACAACCTTTATTGTCATTTTTTTTTTACTGTGGGCACACTGGCACTCATTAAAAATGAAATTCTGTTTGAGGGCAAGCAAGAATTTCATTTTAATTTACTAGTTTTTTTTTTAAAAGGTCTAAATGAGAATCCAGCTTGTGAACTAAAGAATTCATGCTAAACCAGCTCTGTTTCTTTAATCCTCAAATAACTCTGTGAAAGATTGTTTGCAAACACCTGTTTATGGGAGAGTAGCTCAGATGTTAGTAGATCTTTCTGCCTCCTTGCTATTAATATATGATACTTCTGTGAGGAGAGCAATGCTAATAGTTTATCCTAGAGAAGTCATTGTATATGGTTATTAAGAATTCTGGGAGTTGAAGTCCATGAGTCATAAAAGAGTTAAGGTTGCCTACTCCTGAACTAAATTATTAATGTATCTTAAATAGAAAACTATATTTAGGTAGATTCTTACTCCACTGGCTTAATGGCATATACAGTGATATAAAATCAAGGTGGATTTGATTTAAATCAAGATTTAAATCATTTAAATCTTGATTTATATCCCTAGTAAAATGGCTTGACTTAAATCAACTCGATTTAAATCATAATTTTTAAAAAGCAACTGTCATCTCTGTCCCTCAGCAGCAGCTCCTCTGACCCACTGACAGTCCCATTCACTTTAATGGGACGGCTGGTGATGCGACAGTGACACAACAAGGTGAGAGACGTGGTGGGCATCAGGTGAGTGGATGCCTACTAACAGGTGCTGCCATGAGGAATCTGAAATGACAGGTGCTCTTTCTTGGTAGTTAGAATCTTTAATATTATTATTTGTAAACAAAATGAACGTTCCCTATTTAGAATAATATGCTGTCAGGTTAGTAAAACAGCGATATCAGAACCGATTTTAGGTTAATAGGTTAATCGCACATAGTTGGAGAACTACTCAAATTCTTTTATTTAATTAAAACACTTAGAACCTGGTACAGATGCATTTCTCTTCAAACAATCACACAGTTTGTAGTGTACATAGATTTGCAAAACAATGGGATAAAGGAATATTCCTGAACTTTGCTTCATGATTTATTTCACGGTCACTGTGAAATGGTGTGAATGCATCAATGCAGTGCATGTTATCTCAGTGTGCAGAGCTTGGATTCACTGAATGAGTTTGCCAAAAATGTAAATATTGCAGAATGCACAGCCTCCTGCTACATAACTAAGCTCCATTTCATGCTGAATAAACTAAATCAGGGGTAGGCAACCTTGGCTCTTTTATGACTCATGGACTTCAACTCCCAGAATTCTGGGAGTTGAAGTCCATGAGTCATAAAAGAGTTAAGGTTGCCTACTCCTGAACTAAATTATTAATGTATCTTAAATAGAAGACTATATTTAGGTAGATTCTTACTCCAAAAGCATTTTATTAAAATGAATTTGATAATAAAAAAAATCCAATTTAAATAACTGATTTAAATAAAAATGGATTTTTTTGATTTTTTTTTAAAATCATCAATTATCATCCACCCTGTCTAAAACGTTGACCCTCTCTTCTTTATAAGTATTTATGGTCCTCATTCAGTGTTATTCACTGACTCTGCAATCTAGACCAAGTTAGTTGGGCTTTGTGATTAGTTTGCAATTAATCAAAAGTCTGCATGACTGAGCAGAGGTTTGAACCTCGACCTCTAATCCTTGCAGTGGCCTCGTGAGCCTGTTTGACTTGGGACTTACGAGATTTGGGAAAGTGACACATTATTTCCTCGTACAGGGAGAGGGTAGACACACTTTGGCACTCTTCTCTGTAAAAAGGACCAAACTTTGCTTGAGTTAGGGACCTGGAAATTTTGTGTCAGAAGTAAGAGCAATTACTATAGAGGTACTATTTAAATATACTGTAGTTTGAATTAAAGGCCTGATACTTTGCAATAAAAATCCAAGGGGTAGCAGAAGATGAAGTTTAACCGGTCACATTAGTAAGAAGGTGTTACAATTTCTGTGATCTCCGAGATAGATCTATATTAGTTCAGTATTTTTCTCATAAAAAAGCATCTTATGTCTGTCTTGAACACAACAAAACCTATTTTGGATACATACAAAATTGGGATTAGAAAGTTTTTTTTTTTAAAAAAAAATAGCTACATCAAATAAGAGGTTTAATGTAAGAAATGCGTATGCTGTGCTGTTTGATATTGTATAATTAAAAAAAAAACACTACTTCCATTGCTGGTGGTTTTCAAGAAAGGATTGGACAATCATTTGTCCAAGATGGAATAAGGACTCCTGCCTTGGGCAGGGGATTGAACTAGATGACCTCCAAGGTCCCTTCCAGCCCTATGATTCTACTTTAATTAGAAGGGGGGGAATCATGAATGGATTTCAGTATTTTGTATACGACTCTTCAGTTGATGGGGGCAGGGCTTTTCAACCAGTGGTACAGGTACCACCTGTGGTACATTGGCCCCTGGCAGGAGGTACGCAACCATCCTAGAAAAGTGGTAGCAGGGGAGGGGAATGAGCTGAACCGGTGGCAGCACCGCACAAGCCTGAGCGAGAGACGGCTGGAGCTGCAGGGCTGTCAGGGCTCAGCGGAAGCCCCAGGATCAGCGCTTCTTTGGGGCTGTTGGCTCAGCGGAAGCACCAGGATCAGCGCCAGGCTCCAGCTGGAGCCCGGCACTGATCCTGGTGCTTCTGTTGAGCCCTGCAAAAGCACCAATCAGCTGGAAAGCAGCACTGATCCTGGCACTTCTGCTGAGTCCAGAAGATGCGCCAATCGGCTGGAATGTTGCAGCATCTCCAGGGTCTTGTGATTTACATGCAGATGCTTGGCAACCGATTCATATTTATGATGGTCACAGTGTCCCAGGGTCATGTGAAGTGACCAAAACCAGCTGCAACCACCCAGCAGACGGGGGGAATAAAAACCAAACACCCCCCCCCCCTCATCCCAACCCCTCTGCCAATCCCCAACAGAAACCTCACAACAAGCTGGCAGGAATAGCCAACACTCCAGAAGACAGGCTTCAGATACAGAAGGATCTGGACAGACTTGAACACTGGGCACTAACTAACAAAATGAAATTCAATGGTGAAAAAAGCAAGGTTCTACATTTAGGCAA